TATTCACAAATAGAGGTGTGCAGTGTTCTCTCTCTCTCTCACACACACACACACACACACACACATATATATATATATATATATATATATATATCAACCCCTCCTTGGCTGTCTAGGTTTCAGCTTCATTGCATATTCAGTATTCAGGGCAGGTTTGTCAAAGCACTGTGACTAATCCTTTTGTGAAACCACATGTGTGACTGAGGCAATGCTCAGAGCTGGACCTCAGTTAGACAATGATTTGGGGCTCAGTTCTGAGACTACATCAAGGAAAGGGGATGATCCTGAAAACGGATGCGTGCTTTTCATCAAATTTCTACCACATGGGGTCAAAATAAGAGCTGGGGGTTTTGGGTTTTTTTTTGTTTTGCTGGCAATTCTGAAAAGTCGGGGTGGGGGGCGGGAAAGAGGTTATTTTTCTTGCCTTGATGTTCAAAATAGCCAACAACGTTTTGGGCAGCCAGAATCACATTTTGTACTCTGTCATTCAAACTCAAGAAGGGAAACACCTCATCAGCCCATTGTTTGAGCTCTTTTATTTTAATGGTCTGATTGACAGATGAAATTTTTCCATATATTGTCGTGAGCTGTTTTCAGTGGTTTCTTGCAGTGCCTTCAGTGAAATAAATCCAATAATCAGTGATTTGCTATGTTATGTGGTGTCTGTCGATGCTGGTCCATAAGGCTGTTCCTCCTTTCTCTCTCTTTCCCTGTGAAGCTGTCTAATTGGTGCTCCTTACATGCTGTTATGCAGTGAGGGATTTTAATTCCAGGATAATATTGTGCAAGGATCATGCTAATAATTATTCCTTGCACTTCTCTGGCACCTTCCAAAACACTTTGCAAACATCAGTGAATTCAGTCTCACAGCATCCCATTATTCCCACTATACATGTGGGCAAATAGAGCCATAAAGAGTTATGCACATAGTGACACAGCATAAGTGGCAGAATTAGGAACAGAATTGCCTGACTCCCCAGTCCTAGACTTTCACCACTAGATCATGCTTCCCCTCTCAAAGTTACTAATCTAAGAATTGTCCCTATGCCAGCAAAAATGATTGTGAATCAAGAAAAGACCTAAATTTGGCAAATGTTGAGTTTGATTAATGCTAATCAATGAGCTCTACTTCCAAGTAAGGGGCTCTTTTACCCCTTTTATGATGCTTTGGATGCTCAACCTGCATCCAAACCAACTGTGCCTCTTATGTTTCCTCCTTCCACTGAGATCCAGGGAACTATGTGGCACCTGATTACATGTTAAAATGAGACCATGGTGACTCTGCCATATTGGAATAAATCAGTGATGCATCTAGCCCAGTATCCTGTCTCAGACTATGGCTACAGGAGTCAATATAAAAATCCAACTCTTTTCATCCTTCTCCCTGTAGGCATCAAATCTGAAGGCAGCTTTTCTCACACACAAACACACACACACACACACACTTTTGTGAAGTCGTTCAATATTTTTTTATTCATGTGTTAGTTGATATTGATACGGCACAAAACCGAAAGGCGCCAGTTCAATAGGTCAAACGAGCCACAAGCAAAATGTCAACCCCCACAATTTATTATCTAAATACAAGATTTTCATGCTTAACTTTCCTCAACGTCTTCCTAAACCAGACACTATTTCCTAATGCAATTCCCCAACCATTTAGTTAAGCCCCACTCCATCACCCCCTCTCCAGGGAAAACCTGGGGAAAGAGGAGGACCGTTGCAATGTGGACCAAATGGGGAAAACATGCAATAACTGTTTATCTTTGTTTAGCTAATCTAATCTCTAACAGGGCTGCCCCTGGGGGGGGGGGGCGTAAATGGGGCAATTTGCCCCAGGCCCCGGGCCCCGCAGGGTCCCCCATGAGAATATAGTATGCTATAGTATTGCAACTTTTTTTTTTATGGAAGGGGCCCCCGAAATTGCTTTGCCCCAGGCCCCCTGAATCCTCTGGGTGGCCCTGATCTCTAATCCAGTGCATATATTCTATGGTGTGTGTGTGTATATATGAATACTTGTCAGTCCTTGTTATTTTCTTCATGATCATTTTATCTGGCAAGCACTGCACGTTTTATAGTCCAACAGAGCTGTGTGAGACTCATGGGTTGTTTTTTTCCCCATGTAATTTCAGGTGATATTTTGCCAGTTCATTTTAGGGCAATTATCAACCCCATAAATTTTGTGAATGTGACATTTCTGCCAACTAGCTATCTTTCCCGTTTGAAAAATACACTTTCTGAATTCTCACTCCTTTCCCATGCAAACCCGGTAAATCATCGCAAAAGACAATTGGGCATCCCATAAGTGCTCTTAGTTTCTAAGCAATACGGCAATGGCAGGAGATTACGGTAATGGCAGGGGATACTGCCTGCTACAGCAGCAGAGCAGTAAAGTTGCTGATGCTTCTTGACAGTGTGGCGCTGAACATTGCAAGTGGTAGCGAGCGGAGGTTTCAGAGAAGCTGGCCCCAAGCCCCTCAGCCATTGGGACACAGGGAATTAGTGTAATTGTGAGTCATCAAAACACAAGGGGAGTTAAAAAGGGGGTGAAAGGCTGTTTGGAATCTCCGGCCGAGTTCCCCATCCCTGCATGCAGAGAGGAGACTGCAGTGCTGTGCTGTGGGCTGGCTGTGAATGTCCTTCCCAGATGCTCAGCAACAGGAGCTGTGCAGCCTTCCAGGAGGTGAGTGTGGGTGAAGGGCAAAGATAGGGCAGAGTCTCACGTCTGGAGACTCTAGCACGCAGGGTGAGGGTCGGGACAGATGTTGGGCTGTTTGGAGCATATATGTATTATACCTCCTTCCTTGTCTACCTCGCGTACCTTTTTTCTGCCTTCTCCTTTCCTTTACTTGCTGGGAAGTTTTATTTCATGCACTTGGGAATGAAGTTTGATCATTTAATTCCCTCTTCCATCATCAGCCTTATAATAAATACTAATAATATCAGAAGATGCTTAAAACTATGGGGGTTTCATTTTTCATTTATGTGCTTATTCTTAAACCTTCCTTTTCCCTGGAGTAACTTGGGGTCTCATTCCCTCCTGTGGAAAGACAAATGTAAATGTAGCATTGGAAGAAAGGCAAATTCCCACTGTGGAAAAAAAAGAGACCTTTTCTTCCCCACCGCCCCTGTGCATCTGAATTGGGCATCTACAGGTGCTAAAATAAGACTTTTATTTTTACTTCCATCCCTGTAGAAAAATACACACTCCTGGGATTCGTAGATGAGATGATTTTTGCTGCTGGATTGTTGGGAGTGTGTTTAATCAGACGGGAGAGTTAATTTGCAAGACATAATACAGTGAGCTTGCCCATAAGAATTTACTGAGGTTCTTCTTATCTGGGAACTGAGGTCTGTGTTGCTATTGATGGCCTTTCAAATATCTGATCAGTGCTTGAACGGGAAACCTAGACCATCCCTAACATTATAAGAGATGATTAGCTGTCACTTATAGCTAACCTTCATGCCCTTTTTGCCTCAAATTCCTATCTTCATTCTCACATTTCCATCTAATGTATCTTTTTTCCATCTTTATTCGGCCAAGGATGAATTTGGCCTCTAGATGTTTTGAAATGCTATTCCAGCCAGTAAAAACTCATTCTTTCTGCAACACCCCATCGATTTCACAAGTCACTTTCCCCTGTAGCTTTCTAAAATGTACAGCTTATCCCAACTAATGAGCAGTTTGATCTGCAAGGGACTCACTTTGGGGGAATCTAGACTAAATTCTGGACTTGCAGATTTGGTTCACAATCAGTTTCTAGTTCTGATTTCTGTCCCTTTGCATCTTTAATAAATGGTCCCTGTAGGCAAATTAATAATCAGGGTTGATTGCTTTACCCTCAGGTCAATAGACGGCAGGCTTGTTCTGAACGTATAATATTGTTTCTTAGCTGGGGCTGTAGAGAGGTGGTCAGAAAAATTGATCAGGCAACAAAAATTCATATTGGTCTGTGTTGTCTGGAGCAACATCGGCCAAATAGCAGGGCTTCCACTGAGTGGAAGGGACTGGGATATTAATCTAATATCGTAGCTGATGGGGAGGGTTCACTAAAATAGATTCCCAGGCTCCAGAAAATATTTCTGCTTGGGAAACCACAGCAGTAGGTAGCCATGAGCTCTCTGAATCATGTTGTCCATGTCTTTTTACGTCCCTTAGGTGGGCCCCATGTCAGGGAAGAGCACAGTATCAAGGTGAAAACCTCCCCTTTCCTTTTGAGCCTACAACAAGCTGGTGTTAATAAGCCCAGATCCTCAGCCTAGGGGACCAAGTGGCAAGACAACAATTTTCCCAGAGGTTCATAAACTTCTGATCAATACGTCAAGACCATGAAGCCTGCTACGGATGAGCATCCTTCAGCTGGAAAATCACAGAGATGATGGGGCATCATTACCACTGCCAAGGTTTCTACAAAGCCAGGTGCGAAATAGAATTGCAACACAGAGAAGGCCAGCAAAAGTGTCACCAACTTCCTTTTAGGAGGAATCCAAATTAAGACACTGGGGATTTTTACATTATTCCCTTCACCTCTACAAACTGAGTCTTACTGTCTCCAAAAAGCAGGAATGATTTTGGCACTGCAGCTCCATTTCTCCTGAGACAGTTATCCTGGAAAGTAGGAGAGATGTCCTCATTGGTGCCCCTACTTTACACCATACAGCTGAGACCCCTGCATCCCAGGAAGAATCCAAAGGAGGCCAGACTTGGAAAGGCTTCAAAATTGGGGCTATGTTGCTAATTAGCTGCCAAAAGCCATCAGAAGAGCAGAAGCTTAGAGAGAATTTTATGGATTTTCCAGTATGTTTCTGGATCGGTTGCTTATCCTGGTTTTGTGTTTCTAAGGCATTATTATTTTTGTTATTATTAATCATTATAATACCTTTTACCAACGGAGCTGGGCAAATGTTGCCTGCAAAACCTTCAAAGAGTTGATCTCAGCACTTTAAGCAGTAGAAAATCGAGTGCAGCACAAGAGTTGGATGAACTTAATCTGCCAGCAACAATGGTTTTCCTCCCTTTAAATTCCTCTGACTGTTCAAATTGCACCCAGACTGTGGGGATAGTGAACAATTTTAAGGCCATATTATTAGGGGTTATTTTAGGGGGGCTGATTATTTTTGGGGTGCTGGGTAATATTCTGGTTATCCTCTCAGTAGCCTGCCACAGACACCTTCAGAGTGTCACCCATTACTACATAATCAACCTGGCTGTTGCGGACTTCCTCTTAACTTCCACTGTCCTGCCTTTCTCAGCAATCTTTGAGATTTTGGGCTACTGGGTCTTTGGGAGGATCTTCTGCAACATCTGGGCAGCTGTCGATGTCCTATGCTGCACGGCTTCCATCATGAGCCTATGTATCATCTCTATAGACAGATACATTGGGGTGAGCTACCCACTGAGATATCCAGCTATAGTGACAGAAAAGAGGGGACTCCTGGCTCTGCTAAGTGTCTGGGCTTTGTCTCTGGTGATCTCCATTGGACCTCTCTTTGGCTGGAAGGAGCCAGCTCCCGAAGATGAGACCATCTGTCAAATCACTGAAGAGCCTGGCTACGTATTGTTCTCTGCTTTCGGCTCCTTCTACCTCCCCTTGACCATCATCTTGGTGATGTACTGTAGAGTGTATGTGGTGGCCAAAAGGGAAAGCAAAGGCCTAACTTCTGGCTTGAAAACGGAGAAATCTCATTCGGAAGAGGTGACCCTCCGGATCCATCGCAAAAACACCTCGGTACGGAGCAGATCTGCATCCTGCCCAAAGAACAAAACGCACTTCTCCGTGCGTCTCCTGAAGTTCTCCAGGGAAAAGAAAGCGGCCAAGACCCTGGGGATAGTGGTGGGGTGCTTCATACTGTGCTGGCTTCCTTTCTTTATAGTCATGCCTATTGGTAAGTAAAGCAAACCACCTTCACCTTTTATAATAACTTCCGGGGGGTAGGGGGATCTCTAGTTGCCTTGCTATGGGTTAGAGCCGGTCCGCAAAACTTCGACAGAACCATTTTCCATTGGAAAATGCAGTTCCATCAAAACTGAAACACTTCTCAGAATCATGTCAACTTCACCAATAATTTGTTTAGTAAAATCTAGGGGGGGGAATTTTTTCCCCACAGTGTTGCAAAATCTCATTTTGACATGATTGGAATGAAACGGTGTGATTTTTCATTTTGAAAGGACGGTTTGTTTCCATTTTTTATTATACATTTGTAAAAAGTGGAAACCGAAACAAAACATTTTTATTGAGCAGAAATAAAAAATTAAAACACCATCAGATTTTTCCTTTGCAGAGCATGTTACACATGTCAGGTTTTGTGACAATTTGGAAGAAAATCAGTTTTGAATTCCTCCACCAAATGGAATTATTGTCCTCTGGCCAGCTCTACAGACATTATGGGCCAAATCCTTAGCTGGCATAAAGGACACAAGCACTGTTAACTTCAAAACCAAAGTATCTCTTTGCAAATTTACGGCCGGATTTTCAAAAGAGCTCAGGGACCAGACTTTCAACTGCTCAGTACCCACAATCAAGTCCGGATTTTCCATAGTGCTCCCATTGTGACAATTATGGACAGATTTTCCAGAGCTAAGCACTCAACAAGCATCCAAAGTGCTGAGACCTGTTGAAAACCTGGCAATTTACCTTGGTGCCTAAATGAGAATTGAGCTCTTGATCATCTGCTCTTTAGTACTTGATCCAAAGCCCACTGAAACCAATGGAAAGGCTGCCATTGACTTCAGTGGGTTTTGGATTAGGTCTTTATTGCAAAAGAATTATTTTAGCTTCCCTGTATTTTGTTGCAAAGGTGACCTTTTATTAAAAAAAACCAGAGAGCAACTGCAACTATATTTCTCTTTGAAAAGAGTGATTAACTCAACTGTTTGCTAGTTGCAAATGGAATGACATACAGTTTCAAAATTTTAATGCATCCCTTAAAAAAAAAAAACTTACTCTGCATGTTAACAATGTTTGTGATGTAGCACAAGAGTCTGGTGTAGGTAGTAGCTGGATTAGCAGACCAAATGGAAAAAAGAATGAACCACTCAAATTCTAGTGGGTTATGCTCATGGTTCTGTTTATTGTGGTTTTTAAATTCAAGGGCCAGGTAGGTGTTGGGAATCAGTTCTATGCATCAGTGTTTCTGTTACAGATTTAGCCGCTAAGTTCAAACTTCAGCATTGGAAGGTTTGTTTAGAGAAAATGATTTTAATACAGAATTACTTACCCACTGTAATGAAATCCAGGATTCCACATGAATTACTGTTTTAGATGCCTGCAGAGCTTCCCCTCCCCCCCTATTTTGGGGATACAAGCAAAACACATACGAAAGAAAAACAGGCTATAGTTTATAAGCTGTGGTTATTAAATCAGTTCTTGTTCAAACTAGTTAAATCATCCCAACCATCAGCAAGCTAATCTCTTTGCAGCGGCCAATTTTTGCCAGAAAAAGCTTAAACAAGAGCTTTGAAATTGTGCCCTTATTGGAAAGCCTTATACAATTTCAGAAGCATGAAACCAATGAGGCTCTTCAGCATCTTATGGAAATTACCCTAAAAACCTACAGAGTGAAATGGAAAATGATCTCCTTTCATCTATAGCTGCTTTGTGCCATTCTATAGGACTCTAAATAGGGATATAATTCTCAATCAAATTCTAGGGGAAGTTTTAAAAAAATAACTTAGAAAGGTGACCATTTTCAATTAACTTCTATAGGATTCCAACATAATATTTCACTAAATCCTTTAGCTGTTATTGTCTCATGAATGTCAATGACTGCAGAGTCTATCTAATTCTGTCATCTGAAATGCTGGTCAATACTGGAAAAGTGTCTGAGTAAAGACTTAGACATTGCATAAGGAAAAACCCTGGGAGGACTGGCTCTTTCTGCTCTGAGTGTCATTCTGTTGGAATGTTTGTTGCCAAGATGTCCCAAACATACCCAAAAAGGGTTTGAGAGCACATTACGCAGACTTTGGTAAAAAAAAGCCGCAAATGTGGCTGCCCACACAGAGCTGCTGCTGTTGATCCATTTGGTTTAAGTTGAAGAAAACTTCCTTATTCAAAATTGGACTTTGAATCTTTGATCCCTTATAAGGAAAGTTTCCTAAGGTTAGTCTTCCTATCTTTACATAGTTTCTCTGTTATTTTAGAATCACATAATAAGTTTTTCCAAAAATCTGTTTGTCCTTTTTGTTAAAAGAAAAAAGAGTGGTAAACAGAACAGCAGCACAAAGGGACATATATTATGCAAAACCACTGTTACGTCTTGATCTAGGCTGTTTTCCTACTTACTTTGTATCACAGCCCCATAACGCTTAGCTTTTTTATATAGGGCTTTTCATGCATCATTATCCCCTTTTTACAGATGGGAAAACTCTGGCCCAGTGAGGGAAAGTGACTTGCTCAAGGTCACAAAGGTGGTTAATGACAGAGTCAAGCATAGAATCCAGGGGCCAGATTTCAGAAATGCTGAGCATTAACAATGCTTGTTGAAGTTAATGGGAGCTGCAGGGTCTCAACAGTGCGGGCTAGAAAATAAGAATTCCATTACATGAAAAGTTTTGAAGTTCCACAGTTTGTACAGCACCTAACACCATGGAGTCATGGTCCATGACTGGGCTCCTGGGCATTACTGCGATACAAATAATTATAATAAAAACCATTTCCCAGCCAATTCTATTTGAAACCTTTGACGCATTATGCAACCATATAATAATCAGAATAATCCTCGAAATACCCCTTGGAGGGATGTGGAAGTAACCATCAGTGAAAGCCCATATTAGTGATGTTGCCTTAAAGACTAACATATTTATTTGGGCATAAGCTTTCGTGGGTAAAAAACCCACTTCTTTGGTTTTTACCCACGAAATCTGTTAGTCTTTAAGGTGCCACCGGACTCCTCGTTGTTTTTGTGGATACTGACTAACACGACTACCCCCTGATACTTGATTAGTGATGTTGTGAAGTTTGTGAGAAAATAAATGCAATGCTGATCTCTTTAGCAGGATATGCAAATTTAAAATATTGAACATCCAAAAGAAAGAGAATCAACAACAGACCCTTGAAACCTATTGTAATCTTGCCCTTTATGGAATAAAACAACTACACCTCTACCCCAATATAACGCTATCCTCGGGAGCCAAAAATTCTTACCGTGTTATAGGTGAAACCGCGCTATATCGAACTTGCTTTGATCCGCCGGAGTGCGCAGCCCCGCCCCCCGGAGCACTGCTTTACCGCCTTATATCCGAATTCATGTTATATCAGGTCACTTTATATCAGGGTAGAGGTGTATATGAAGAACTGCTAAAGAACGTTAATGGAGGTGTCTGTTCCCATGTAGATAGCTCAGTGCAAGTTGGGGTCCACAGATCTATCATCATAGTCAAAGGCAAGGTATAGTTAGAAGAGCACACCAAGTCTCTGGACATAATGAGAGCATGTCTGGGGAAACCTAGTGGTGTGGTGCTAGATTCCTGGCTGCTCTGTAAAGTGCATGTCAGCCTGGTTCAGACAGGCCAGGTAGGGTGCAAAGCAAAGCTGAGAGTCAGCAATCAGAACAGGATCACGAGGAAGGCATACAGCAACCTGCACGACATGCTGTTCAGTGACTGATCAATGATGGGTGCAGAGATGCAAGGGGGAAGCTTTCTTCTCTCTGCATTAGTAACCAATGTGTCCATAACAACAGTGTCTGTATCAATTACCTGTGCCTGGACTGGAAGAGGGACACTTGCAGGACCAGTGTAGTGTATCAGAGGGGTAGCCATGTTAGTCTGGATCTGTAAAAAGCAACAGAGAGTCCTGTGGCACTTTTAAGACTAACAGATGTATTGGAGCATAAGCTTTCGTGGGTTAATGCCCACTTCGTCGGATGCATGTGTAGACATTCCACTTGCATGCCTGCTCGCAGGGTGTACACAGGAATTCAAACATACCCAGGCTTTACATTGGGGGAGCATGTTCTTGTGAGCGACAGGTAGATCATTTCATCAGCCACAAGTTGCCATGTGCCCTCTCAAATACCTTAGGCAGAGAGAGCCCTCCAAAGTAGTTCAAGACCAGCCCCTGAATGGAGAGTGCTGGACAATCCTCGAGGTGAAATTAACACAGATAGGTGACAATCAGGAGGGGTTGGTTTAAAATCAGGGTAGGTAATGCCCTCCCAACCTTTCCTGAGGATCTTCCACTGCATGGGCACTTTCATTTTAGGCCAAGCTTTTAGGAGCCTTATTCCCAGGATAGACAGCTACAGGATAGGTGTTAAGCCCATTTTACCCCCTTCTGGCTTGGTTGGGATGCTGTTTAGTAGAGCTGGCTGGAGAACAACAATTCTGTTTGGTGAAAGCTTCCGAGATTTTGGAAAAATCATGCATTACACATTGGAACTAAAAAAAAATCCCCTTTGAATGTTTTGGTCAAAGGGGGATAGTGTCGAAAGCTGTTCATTTTCTACGAAAACAGGTCAGTTTTTTTAATCTGCTTGCTCTCTCTGTCTCTGTTTCTCAAATTGACCAGAGAGTCCATCCTGGACCTCGGAAACCTTGCCAGCAAAAAACTCAGCAAAATCAATATGTCTCCACAAAACATTTCCGCTTTGATGAAAACAGCAGGTCTAGAAAACAAAATTGTCAAAAATATTCCAGCCAGCACCACTGTTGAGGTTTGCACACCCCCTTCCCGGGCAACTCTCAGCTTTTCCCGGACTGCATGTGCCCAGTGAACCGCAGCAGAATGGTTTCCCTTTCCAGGCCAGGACTAAGGGAGACCCAAGTGGGGATTGTCTCTCAGCAGCACAAGCTAAATTTAATCTGGAACCAGGAAGAACCACAAGGTACTTTGTGTCCAGCAGTAACTTCTACAAATAGTTTCTATTATTATCTATTATATATC